TTTTTTGCAAAAGAACCCACAAAGCTAACGCTGAGCCTCTGAATTAGCCCTGAGCGAAAAAATCTTAAGGCCGTTAGCACAGAACTCTAGCTATACCGATCGATACACTTATTGGATCTGCACAAACAAGCTTAGCTAACATCCTGAGATTCCACAGATTATATAAATATAAGGATCATCACTGAGCGATCAGAACTCGTGACAGGGGACGTAAATACAGACAACACACGACGTAGCTTTAGGTATGCTCACTTTAGCTGTTATTCTGATCAAAAGTCGTGTTCAATGGCATTAAAACGATAAAAAAACGCAGCTGAAGGTTAATCCATAGGTTAATCCAATGTGTCTGTCACTTTGAAAAAAGTATTGATAATCCATAATTCAATTTGTATGCAAAAATCGGAGAATAAAAATTAGTTGCTAACGGTAGCCACCAGAGTGTTTCGCAGCTCCGGTTTTGGCTATGCGTCATTCTCACTCCTTATTTGGTAACCTGTGTGTGTATGTGGAACTTTCCCTCGATTCCATTGGCTCTAGCCCAAATGACCCCAGAAGTGTTTATTTTTTGCTAAACCTCTCTAAAAAAGGTCAAATATCACTTGTTTTGCATCAATCTTGATACAGGGTACTTATATGTTGTACTTTGGATTCCTAAAGCTTTTTGTCTACTAACCCATCATCCAAGGGTAGTTTTCACTATAAGTAAAAAATATGTTTTGGACGGACACTATAATTTACAGTTTATTACTACGTTCAATCTGAATTTTCTTTAAAATAAAAAAACATCTATATTGATTCTGACTCTTCTACATCCAACTCACAGGTTTATCGTTACTTTGAATAAAAAGATTATTAATTTTCCCCTTTTAGAAGGGAAGATGGTCATTTGTTCTGGAAATGTCATTTTTAAGCCTGAGACCTGAAAAACAGGCTTGGGTTAAAGCAAGCAGAGATGAAACAGGTGACCCTGACATTATTGTTTCACAGCGCACCCTTTGAAAATCAAAGGAGCTTGTGCATAAACGGAACACCTGCAAAGACCATCTTAAATTGAAAACCTTTTAGTTTTAAAATTGGCAATAAGATACAGAATCAAAACTAATGCTAGAACTGTGAGAATACATGGATAACATGCTGTGAGCAAACGTCTTTACACTTAATGACCACCTTAAACTCCCTATATTGCATGTGAGCTACTACATTTACATTCACAGCATATTCAGCACCTATTACATTTTTTATTAGAATTTGAATAAGCATGTGAATAATTAAATTAATCATGCACCTCATAATTTACTGTAATTGCCAAAGTAATTACAGTTTACCTGAATACAATTACTATTCCAGTTCATCATGTTAAATGTTTCCATATGTGACAGCACTGCCTGACCATACTTTTATGGACGTCTTGATATAAGGGATTTCTTACAAATGTGCACCTTTCCCAGGATAAAGGTTCTTAATGTAATACTATGCTTTCCATAAATGGAAAATCCACTCACAGGTTCGTCCTAATCTTATGGGAATTCACAGGTTTACTTAAAGTCAATTTTCTTTAATCCCTGTAGGTAATTGAAGGTTTAGCAGCTCTTTAAAATGTACGCATGTTGCCTGCAAGCCATGGCAACAGGTCTGGTGAGACGGTATCTGCAATTACATGCTAATTATAGCATCAGTTCGAGCTGCAGGTGAATTAATGCCTGGTGGCTTTCTCTAAGGGTGAAAAGCCGTCCCTGCGCTGTAGGAAGTCTTTTAAATCAAAAATAAAATCCTTCTAGGTCAAAAGTGAGTCAAAAATGTGGTTTAAACTTTCTACTGAACAACTCAACTAAGACTAATTCAAATAAGAAAAATCTATGTCACTTATATTTAATTTTCAAATGTAACCACACAACCATTTGGCATATTCCATAGGACAATAAGCTTATAAAAAAAAGCTTAATTCAGAGGATAAAGCATCTCTACTTCTCATAAAGATTAGTGTGCAAACAGTAGCTGTTACCATCCAGCTGCAGCTGAAGCATCACATCAGCGCATCTTCGTAAATAATGTTAGATCACAGCGCCCCCCTCTGGTCAAAGATTAGTGTGTGGACATGGAGAATGACGATTGGACTTTGTGTGTTGATTGTAAAATGACAAACCATCCACAAGGGTCTGACTGGAAATCTCCGGGAACATTTCATATATGTTCTTCTATAGGGAGAGAAAAAGCTGACAGTGTGTTGTTTGAGTTTCAAATTAGTTTTTGATGGAGGGATGAGCATGCATATCTAAACTCCTTGTTCCATCTTTTTATACAGAATATATTCATCTGAGCATCCAAGTGTAAATACACACCAAAGTAATCTGATTATCCACGCCAAAGCCTTCTATAAAAACAGTTGTGGCCCTGGTTTTGGAGGACAAAAATGGCACATTTATCCCGGAAGGTTTTATGTTTCTCATCTTTCTGCCATTCAGGCCGCACTTGTTTTCAGGCATGAGGATTAAAATCTCTCCTTCCCACGTGGGTGCCAAGAAAAAGAAAAAAAAGGGATCTAGGAATCTGAGATGTCTGCCTCCCGAGGCTGTTTGTGCTTCGGCTTGAGAAACAAGAGCCAATTTATTCCGGGTCCATCTTATTTCCATATATTGCTTCAATTGAGCCTATTTCCAATTTTTGGGGAAATGAGGACAATTTCTTACCTGGCTGCTGAAATCCATTTGGGAGCTGCAGACTGAACAACCAAGAGGGTCCCTGCTCGTATGAATATTCAATATATGTTTATGCAGATATGATGTAATGGAACAGCCGAAATGACAGAATACATTCAGAAAATAGCTTATCAAAGTGGACTCAAATGTAATGCATGTGCACCGAATGAAATATGCATGACAAATTGGCTTCAGAGCACACAAAGCAGGCAGGTCCTCTGAACCTTTGCACAAAAGCTCATTGAAATTCCTTTCATTATGACTGTGGCACTACAGAGAAACAGAGAATGAGAGGGACGGACAGACAGACACGAGTATAAAGATTTCTGATTACAGAGGCAGGGAAAGCTTTGCACCATGTACCGGAATATCATTACAAATAATTATGCGATTCCACAGCTGAAAAAAGTAAACAAAAACACCAGAGATGAGCATATAGTCATTTTATTTACAAATGTTACGTTTTGCCTCAATGCCATTCAGTATTATATATTCTTTACACGAAAACCTGCTTGTGTGTACAATCCTCTATCTATCAGTGAAAACTCCAGACAAGTGCTATCCAAGCAGACGGTTTTAAATAGGTTTTGCAAGAATGCTAATAGAGTAATCTTAATTACTTTTCCCTGTTACAAACAAAACAAACAAACATGTTAATACCACAAGACTGAGCGGAAATAAAAGCATGTGTAAGAGGAGATTGAAACCTTTAAAACTCTCTCAAGATCTCTAATATCTTTATAAGCGAAGGTCATAACAAACATCATAAACAATCTTACAATTTAACGTATTGACTAGTTTTGTTTGTGGCTTAAACATTTAATAACTCTGGCGCATGCAGAACCCTTTCATAGTGTAATACTTAATATGATATAAACATTAAAGTAGATAACTTCTTTGCAAGCTTACCCTCTCAATCACACACGAATATAATTCTCATCAGCGAGGCAACTGAGATTTTCATTAATGGAAACATGTCCATACCAAGTGTCCCAGCTATTTGCAATGGCTTCAACGTTCACTTAAATGTTCAAGGGTTGTTGTCACAAGTAGTCTCTTCATCGATCTGCTGGAGGACAGTCACGTCACATAGAGGTTGGCTGGCCAACTGAAAGGAAACAGGGATATTACACGTAAAGGAAGCGGAAAATAAAACGTCATGATGTCGATCAGATTGATGCTGGACTCACCTTTATACCGGATGTAGCAGGAGTTACAGTGGAGCTGTTTGTTTCGTATTCTGACTTCAGCCCCAGCCTCCGATCCCCCGAGTTCAGACTTACAGTCGATGCACTGAGGGAGAGGCAAAAGTTTAAGAGCTATTCAATAGATTTAAAGCTAGACCAAAGAGACCAAGTCCAAAGGCGGAGGGATGACAGAAGCCCCTTGATTTCATGTATAGAAAGAGAAGAATTGAGGAAAAAGAAGAAATGACAGTCACAGATTTGAAGGAAGGATCTCCGGAGAGTGGAGACCAAACCCAGGAGCAGACCAGCGTTCTGGGAAGAATCAACAATCAAAGGTTGGTAGTAAGAGACAAAGTGAGGGAGGGGTTGATTAGTTTGGCACAGACACTTTGCTCAGCTGTAAAGGGATCAAGACCTTGAGGATCACCAGGTTAGTCATAAAAGGAAAGGAGTGATCATGTTAGCGCTTGAGGATCAGCCGAGGTCCTCCAGGAGGGGGGGGGGGGCGACACGAGCCCAGCTCTCACCTTAAAACAGGTCAAATGATAACAGAGCCCGAGGGACTCGATGATCATGGCTGCTCCCTTTCCCAGCGGGGTGTCACAGAACGTACAGATTTTCTTGCCACTCACTGACCTGGATTACAGAACGCACAGCTGTGATTTGAGAGCGTTCCACACATGCATGACGCATGTATGTATGCAGACACACACGCAAAACTCATGTTTACACATGAGACGGCACACAAAAGGGTTACAATGAGAAATCATCTGTTTGCTTTTGATGAATATTGATTTTGGTTGAGGGCCAATCATGTCCCCCGCGAGAGGAAACAGCTGCTCGTTGACAACAGCTCCATTTCAAACATTGTAAAGAAATACGTAGATATGTTTTTCATGAAATAAATTGTTCAGTCACCTATTCAAATGCATCAATTATGTATCCTATTCTGGTTTACAAGAATAAAACTATGATGAAGTTATTATTTCAAGTTTTGATATTTAAAGATCTGGCAACCAAACATTGGAAAGTATGAGCCGCTGATGCAACACATGAACACAGACTCAAATTATTACTGTAAGTATGAACAGAATTTCTGTAAGTAAAAACAGGATTGTAAATGATTGTCAACCTGTCAACTGTAATATGGAGGGTAAGAAGGACATGAAACAACATAACAAAAAAACATAATATCGTAATACATTAAAAAGTAGAACAAGTGAAATCAGATGAAGTTCAGTTCCCCTTTCCCACCACTTACTTCCCCATACACAGTTATGTTTCCTCAACACCAACCCAGAATACCAGTGAGAGTTTAGAGGCAGCTGTTGGGGGGGGTTAGGCGAAGCAGAATTGTTAATTTTACCTGCTGCGCTGCTGAGAGGCGCCTGCCTCTGACGTGGGCTCTGGAGAAGTGGCAGGTGACGGAGAGGAAGGAGAGGGGGAAGAAGACTGCCGGGACCAAGGGGACGAGGGGGGACCTGCCCCGCCTCGGAGGGAGCCCATGGAGTAGGAGGAAGGCAGGGTGGAGGAGACAGGACGCTGGGCCCCAAGACCACCACCATAAAGGGAAGGGCCCCCAGAGTACGGCGCAGAGTAGTTTGGGATGTGGGGGGTGCTTCTGGGGGTCCATGAGGAGCGCCAGGAGTTGTAGGAGGTGTCCAAGTTGTCAAGAGACTCACCTCTGCAAAGCCAACCCACACCACACCCACGTTAGCCCATAAGAGGCATTTAAAATGTCTGGCTACAAACTTTGGAATTTATTTGAATGTTTATATATTTTAGTAATGGTCAAATTTGCCAAATGAGTTGTAGCCAGACTTCTAAATGTTTTCATCCTCCCACATTATCAGGACATTAGTGAAAGGCCAACCACCATCATAACACAATAGGGTTACTTTACTCTCATACACACTGGGGAAACCTTACCTGCGCATTGAGGGTGCGTGGGACTCCTGGGTGGTGCCGATGGCGGCTGAGTCCTGGCGGATCCAGCTTTTGTCCCTCAGCATCGGAGTCTTCTTCTTCATCTCGTTCAGGATCTGCTGGCGCTCCAGCTCCGCATGGGACTGGGACTGCTTTCCCATCCTGTCCCCCACAACACCGCCTGTCACTGCACCCAGACCTGTCACTGCACCCAGAGAGGAGAGATACACTTTAGAAACTGAAAAATAAATCATCACTGGTGGAGAAATTGGAGAAGGAACAAGATTGTGATGATGTTGATACGATTGTTCCCCAGTCTTGATTTGACCTTTCTTTTATTAAGTGCAATGAAATTATGGAAGCAGGCTGAGAGAAATTACCCTGCAATCAATGAGTTAATTGTTTTTCACTGCCTGTAATTTTCTTGTAGGCCGAACAATTGATCGACCAAATGATTGTTAATCAAACCGTTTTGATTCGGTGAGATTTCATAATTGACTGATCATGATAATGAGACCTTTCTCCGGGTCTCTGTATCTCATGGCATTGAGGATGTTTCTCCTCTCCTTCTCCAGCTCTGACGCAGCCCGCTGACTCTGGGCCTGTTGACTCGCATTCCTCGCCTGCTCTTCCAGCAACCAGTGAGCCATGCCCCCCCGCTGCATATAAACACCTACAGCAGATTACAGCCCACATACTGTATAATATGTACACGTATGTGCAACAACATGCATACATTGAGTCCTTTTTATAAAAACCAGCATCAAGAGAAACACATTTGAAAGTTCTTATATTCCTGGTCTCATGTTGCTGTTGCATTTATCGAATTCATCAGTTTATAAATAATGGAGAGTATATTAAATCAAGAAAACGTACCTTTTCTCTGAGGTTTTTCCTCTTCATCGAGCTGCGGAGATGATTGAGATTTCGTCCTGTCAAACAAGAAAATACCAGTTGGAGCCAGATTTTAATAAATAGATAACAAAAGAATAATTTTGTAAGAAGCCATATATTTTCCAAAATGTGGCCTCAAGTTCCCACATTTGTATGAGGAATAGCACAGTTAATAATGGTTATATAAAGAAACTGCAGACCAATCACAGGCAATTTTCATCTCAGCTGGAGACCCAACCACTTGCTGGGGGTCTCCACAGAGACATGTTTTTGAATGGTTTGGTTCAAATAGAGCCAGAAAAAGAGTGTGGTAAATACTTTGACACATCAGCTATGCAGTAAATAGTTGCCAATTTGTACATGTACTGAGAAATGTTTTGTAAATATATAACAGACGAGAAACAGGATTTACTACCTGTGATGTCTAATTATGGACCTGGTCGAGGTGTTTGTGCGACAAATTGTTCTTGTTTGACGTTTTGCAGTATCGAATGCTTGTGAGAAACTGTTTTGGTATGCAGAACTTAAAAAAGGCGGAGCAAGAAGTGTGGACATTCTAACATGAAGGCAACATTAATTAGTTTAGATATCAAATACAACATTGAATCACCCCTATCAAGCAGAATACAGACATTTATTAATTGGGTTATAACAGTGGGGAACCGTCAGGGCCTTCAAGGTATTCAGAGAATACCCTGGAACACTCAAAAAATCGATTTAATTATATAAATAAAATGTAATTAAGTGTTTATTAAATGAATAAATGAGAATGGTATCTGTGTTGTTGATCTGTAATATTACAGTGTTACGTTGATTTGTTTCTCCTTCTCGGACCATGCACTACGCATTTCATTGGTTTTGTGTTAGAAAAGAAAGCAACCAATCAGATCTTGTTCTGGGTCTCTGGGTGGAATATCCTTCAACCAAGGTATTCTACATCCTTGATCGAATGCCCTGGCCGTTGCACTGAATGAGAGCGTACGTTTGGACTGACAGTTTGATCAACCAATCATATATTGATTTGTAGCCAATGGGCGTATTCTTTCAGAGTTTCCCTTGGTTCCAGGGTACTCTAGAAGGCCCGCTAGTTAACGGCTCGAGAGAGAGGATCTAGAATGCGACGAAGCAATTCATGCCGTTTTATTGTTTTTAACATTGAAATGGCGAGTGCAACAAGTGAAGATGAAGTTGTTGCGGAATTGTTGTNCTCAGGTGCTGCGTCGCAGCATTCAGAGTAATTTGCTCACATTGGGTTCAACGCGTCATAGAGCGAGCAAGTCATTTCATTGGACGAGAGGCATACTATCATAGTATGCCTCTCGTCCAATGAAATGACTTGCTCGCTCTATGACGCGTTGAACCCAATGTGAGCAAATTACTCTGAATGCTGCGACGCAGCACCTGAGATTACTTCCAAGAAGTTGTTCACGTTCTCAATTTTTAAGTTTAACGTTATATTCGTTCTGTAAACTTCGGTACACACGTGTACCGACCGAAGTTTCGTACGGGCCCCACGTGTGTACCGAAGTGTATACAGTTACACCCTATAAAAATTGAATGATGGATTATCAGTAATCATTTCAAAGTGACAGACACATTGGATTAACCTATGGATTAACCTTCAGCCGCGTTTTTTCTCGTTTTAATGCCATTGAACACAACTTTTGATCAGAATAACAGCTAAGGTGAGCATATCTCCGTGTTTTGCTACCTAAAGCTACGTCGTGTGATGTCTGGGTTTTCTTCCCCTGTCACGAGTTCTAATCGCTCAGTGATGATATTTATATAATCTGTGGTATCTCAGGATGTTAGCTAAGCTTGTTTGTGCAGATCCAATAAGTGTATCGATCGGTATAGCTAGAGTTCTGTGCTAACGGCCTTAAGATTTTTTCGCTCAGGGCTAATTCAGAGGCTCAGCGTTAGCTTTGTGGTTTTGTTTGCTAAAAAGAAAATAAATCATCAGTTAGCTGAGTTTCTTCCCGTTACATGGATATGAAACATTCATAGTTTATTAAATCTTAAAAAGCCCTCAGACACTGACACTGTTGCCGAAGGGTTCGTGGGGCTTAAGAGGTTAAAAGGGTCCTTTATGGCTGCATGGCACAGGTTGTTATCCATTATTGATTATCAACAGATAATCACCCCTCTCTTCCGCAGAGGTAAAATCCCTTTTTCAAACTTGATTGAGATATTGATCTGTGACCTTTTGTGCAATGAGGAAATGATCCGCCTGGATCCCTACTTGTTCTCATTATGAATGCTGACTCTAATCCTTGACTCACGAAAGGGCAAAGCCCAAAGGATTCTACTCTGGAGCAGAGGTGTGTTTGTTAAATAACGCTGGATTCATTTGGAGACTGGAGGCTTAAAGTAAATATGACACATTCACAAGAGATTTGTTCTCTGTAGACAATCATTAAACATGAGTAATGCCGTCCTCCTTTCTCCGACTCAAATAAAAACATTTTTACAAAGGACATTTCTCTCCTATGTTTTCAAAAGAACTGCGTGTCTGCAGGAAAAAGGTCCAACAACCAAGAGAATGTTTATCCAAGTGCAGAAAAAAAAAATCTGTTTTTATCTGTGTGCGCAAGAAGACTCCACGCAGCCATGTTACAATCAGGAACAGGAACATCTGTGATTTCTTGCTGTGACCTTAAAGAGAACTGCGATTTATTTTCGTTCCTCTACTTAGTGTCTGAGGAAGGAAAAGTATTGCTGGCAACCAGATGCAGTAGAGTTTATTTTCCAGTTTGTGGGGAAGAGCAAAAGTGTGTTGAAAGGGTTACATGGCTTTGAATTGATAAGACTGCATGGTCACAGCTGGCGCACCCTGATATGCTTGAGACTGCATTATACCCGGGGTGACATGGGACCACATTTTCTGTCCTCATCTGAATTCATCCTTCTTCAGTCGTAGCATGAGCTGGAATACTGATTCTCAGTTAAGCACTCTTTAGCGGATGTTGCTATGTGTTTCAAACAGAGGAAGGTGAATAGGATGGGAGCAGTAATTTCCTGAGGCTGAATACTTTCAGATGTATCCACACGCCTGATGCTCATAATTTCAATCTGCAGCGTTAGCAATTCCTTTTAGCAGCAGTATCTGGCAGTCTGCTGCATCAAACATCCCAACATGCAGACAGATGTGTGACAAAGGCGGACGCTGGGACCAAATGGTTGCATATGTCAATTCCAGTTTAGATCAGTCACACTAAGCAAAGTGTAATTTACTTTATGAGTGGCACCAGCAGGCACAGTGGTCGGCTTGGAAAGTCCATAGATGGGAACAGCAATCCTTGTCCGTCACAAACTGACAGAGATGTCTATTGAAGTTCATCACCTCATATGTCACCCCATGTACCCTAGCCTTTGCTCACTTGTCACCCAGGATTGGTGTTAATTGGAATTTTATCAGAGGAAAACTTTAAAGAGAGGGTGTTACACTCTTCAAACCTGCCCTTCATTTGATGTCACATTTTGATGTTTGCACTGTGCACACATCCCTACAAAGACAGAGAGGGAGGTATGATGAAGGCTCTGTTTGAACCTGCCACCTTCATACATTAGCCGAGGAAAAAATTGCTTTTAAATTTCATTATATTGTTATCTTTTGGTTTTACAACATTGGCACAAGAAGCACTGAATACACCACACACATGAGAAATAAAACTAAATAAAATAGTTAAAGGAGAGTTATAACAGGACACACATCACCTGCGTGCAAGGCTCTCAGAAAACAGTGTCAATCGATAAAGGAACCCACTTACCCAATGCCACAAAAGTTACATTTAGAGACAAGCTTTATGATGTATGATGGTTGTGGTGCAGACAGCCATTGAAAAGCCATTCAAACATATATCTGATTCATCATCCCATTCATCAGAATCTTCATCATCCACATTTGATTGAATTATTTTAAAAGAAGAGTGAAGGATTCTTGATTTCTTGTCATGAAATTGTGTCTACAAACTCCCACTCTCTGATCCTTAGCTTATCTTGATTCAGAACCTTGGTGTGAGGATCTGAAAAGTGAAAATATAAAAATGTTCTCTTTGAAATAAGAATGTATTTAAATCTGATCCTTCTTTCTGAAATCTAACATGCTCAATGCTAGTGTATCTGATCGGACACAGAGTGATCCAACTATGAAATGCTCTGCTACTGGGATGCTCTCATCTTTTAGGATTTCACTTCTGAGCTCTGCTATCCTCATTTTACTACCCTTTGTGTTTTTTTAAATCCCAAACCACAGGGGAATTTGATCAAATAGATTACAATGGATAGGGAAGAATGGAAAACAATGAAAGTAAGAGGCCCTATATATTGTTCCTTGAGAAATGTAATCCATCTTATCATATACCCATGTGGTTTAGCTTAGGAAAAACAAAAGAGCAGCAAAAACCAGGAGAGACAAACGCAGGAGCTGCATCCAGACCCAGGATCAGCGTTAAGGATGTGAATTAAATCATTATTAAAATGTTAATTATCAATTATTCTTTGGTGGTTTTGGGATAAACTCCACTTGCCATCACAAACCTGATCAGCATGTTACTGTGCATGATTAAAATATCAATTTGGTTTCCTTTTTTTTTTTAAAAACACTGTGCCCTTAAGAAGATCCAATTAGGATAAAGAAATGTGCCAACATTAAATTGTGACATGAGAGATTTCGTTGCATATGAATTACTTCCTAGTTCTACTCTTCAAAACTCACAGCTCCTTTATTTCCATGAGTTCTACTGTATTATCAAAAGGTAAGCATGCTCACTTCTTCCCTCCTGTTTGTATTCTTTAACACAAATCTCTATCGACCAATAACAAAGATAACAGAGCAATTTGCCCTGCCCTATCAGGAACAGGAGAGTCAGTGAGATGTCAATCAAGACGTGTTTTTACATCCCAATGAGAGG